CAAGATAATCACAAATTATGAACACAAAATTCTGACCAACACTCTTACAATCACTAAGCCGGAAATTTTACAAAAAATGAAGCTTTATTTCGATTGAAATCGTGAAAATGGCGGAAACCCTAAAACTCACTTTGCGAACCAAATTTGTTGATAAAAAACGGTGGTTTTTAATTCCTTTTATTGAGTGAAAATGATTCGAAATTTGAATTAAAGCCTGTAATATTCGTTCATAAGGCTGAAAACGTTGAAAATCGATCAAAAAAAGACAAAAAAAATCGAAATCCTGTGAAGAACACTGTTCAGCCCGTGTTCTTCAGGATGACTCGCGATTCTACTATTGGGACTCGGACAGAATCGCTAGTCTACTATTGGGAATCGTCCGGTTCTCTCTGGACACGGGGGATTCTCGTTTTCTGTGCCGATTCGGTGCGTTTTGTAGCGATTCTCGAGTCGAACCAGACTCTCCGATTTGACTCGGCGATTTTTTAAACACTGCTTTAAACAATTGAGCTATTATTACATTATAAAGCCCTATATCTTGGATTTTATATTTTTTAACGAAAAAATATCATTTTATATGTGTTCTAACTCCATTTAGCGAAACACAATAATTTAAGTCCAAGGTTTATGTGAGTTGGCCAACTCATCTATTCATGTGAATCCTCTCTTCAAAATCGATCTTAGCAATAAATTTTGGATCCTAGAGGTCAAAAATCTACTCGTGAATGTGAAGCGAAAAAAAAAATTTACAATAAGAATTGTATACAGTGAGACCATTTACATTTGATACAAGATAGTCATAATTACTTACAACCATCCGATATGAAATTCGAGAGGTTGGATGTGTCACAGAGTTCGATAAAATTCTTTTTGAAGTTTGAGCTTGGTTAATGGAATAATTGCTGCTACCCAATTTCACATCCATTTATCAAAGATTAATATGGCCACTTTGTACCAAAGGTAAATAATCTCAATTTATACTTTTTTTTTTAAATAATTATAAAATTTGATATATTTTTTTAGCGTGTTGACTTATAAATTTTGGTCAGACCACCAACTTTTGACATCCATTTTAAAAGGAATGCTAGCTGCCTCAAGAAAGGCACAAGCCTGGTGGCCTTGCCCTGGGCCACATTTTGTGGTCCAGGAGTGTTTTAGGGCCGGGAGAACCGACCAGGGCGGGCCACCCAGCGCGTTGCCACCATTACCTCCTGTCTCTAGTTTTCTCTAGTTCATTTATTTCTCTCGTTATGCCCTTTCTCCCCTTAAACTATTGGGCTATTATTACATTATAAAGCCCTATATATTGGATTTTATATTTTTTAATGAAAGACTATCATTTTATATGTGTTATAACTCCATTCACTTAAACACAATATTTTTAATACAAGGTTTCAATGAGTCGGCCGACTCATCTATTATTGTGAGTCTTCCCTCCAAAATCCATCGGTAGCGAAAAGCTAGTAGTGTTATTAAATATATTATATTATGTTATATTATAATATATTATATAATAAATTATATATAAGAATATTATTATAATATATATTATTACATATATAATATGATAATATTATATTACAATAATATATTATCATATTATAACACATTAATATATTATAATATATTATATTAATATATTATAAAATATTATCTATAATATAATAAATTGTACATGCTATATCATAATATTATTATATTTGTTGATGGTTTGTAACTTTCTCCAAAAGTGGCACGTAGGAACACTTGCCACAGCATGGCTTTATAGTTATCGCTTCCTCTTCCGTTCAAAAAAAAAAAAAAATGGTTGTTTAGGGGTGCCCTATAGTCTGCAGGGAATAGTAAAATGGAAAAAAAAATAAGTTTTGATTTTCCCGAATTTTACTATTCTCAAACAGGTGAAAATTACACTTCAAAAGAGAGTGTGAGGCTTTCCCCTATTTTCTCCGATATCAAACGCACCCACACAGATTACAGATTTCACATCTGATATGATCATATATTATATCGGCCCTTTCCTTGATATGGTTATGCTTCCTTTTTTTTTTTTCCTTTTTTCTAGAAAATCCATTCTCTTAACCTCTAAGATCAATTTTATGAAAAGAATGAATTGGAAAACCTAAAAGGCTCCAATGACAGACCTTTCAACATTTTGATTTGGACCATCGATTGCAATAGATGCTATATCATACTTATATCTTTTTTTCTAAGAAAAAAGTTTATCTAAAGTTGCAACCTTAAAATGTAGAACTATGGATGCACCTAAAATATCGATCGGAAAAATGTTATTTTAATGTTGAAAAATCCTCTAATTGATCATCTCGACATAGAGATGTATGACTATGAAAAAAAACGTATTTTGAGTCCCAAAAATAGTGCATCTTACAACACATTATTTAGACCATCTATTTTCAAGATTTTTATATTGACTTGATTTTATAATTAGATATGAAAATAGATTTTGCGATAATCCTAAAACTATTTTATATCAAAATTATATGTTATGATAAAATTTGAGTGTGCACCTTAATTGGATTGTTGAAGGTTGCAACCTTATCAAAACCATACCCTTTTTCGAATGGGTGTTGACTTTAAATAATCAACCGATAAGGTGCACTTCCAAAGTTTGTAAAACGATGGAGTTTCGGTGAAAAAAATGTTTACAATTGCCATGCGATCTATTTCAACCTTAATTGTGAATTTTTAAGTTTTAAAAATGGTGTAAATCAAGCAAAGCCATAAAAAACACAGTTTCTATGAGTCCATATAGAAATGAGTCACCTTTTAAAAATATGATTTTGAGATAGATTTTCAGATCCAATTTTTAAGGACATGTAATCTCTAACATGGAGATTATGAATATGAATAAATAAATAAATTTTGAAAATTAAAAATAATAATTCTATTAAGAAAATATTTGGACCGTTAGTTTCAATTGTTTTTAGATGGATCACCTATTTTCATCTATCTTTAAGGTTGCTTCATACCTTATGACCGCATATTGTAAAAATACACTCCAACCCACATAAAACAATTTTCCATTTATAAGTATTTGAAAATCTTAAAAATATAAGGTTACAATCATTCTTTGTCCCGTAAATCTCAAAATAGGTGGTTGTAAGTGTGCCTTTGAATAGACACAACGTTGCAAATTTTTTCGAACGTCATGATCTACGCCAAGTCATCCAATTTGACATCTAATAAGTGAGAATGATTGTAACCTCTATATACAAAAGATAAATTATTTCTTTGTAGACAATCTTTCAAATAATATGTTTGTTATGTGAGGTGCATCACTTTTTGAACTTTAGTTTTTTATTTTATTTATAAATATGGGTGCAGTTTGTATTGAGCCTAGGCTCTAAACAATCAAATTAGAACCTACCTTCAAATAGTATCAAGAACTGTGGTTTTTTAATATGGGAAATCTTTGTGATAGCCTTAAAATATATTTTTATATTTATTTATAAATTTTAAAGCTTAAAAAATAGTGTAGATCAACAAATCTATAAAAACTTGAAAATCTTGAAAATTAACAGTTTAAAACACGTTTTCAAATGCCTTATTTTCAAAACTTGAAATTCAATATCCATATATCTTAATATAAAGATGATATATCTTGAAGATATTTGAACACCAAAACAACTTTTTACTAATAAATTTTTTGAGATAGGCTCAAATTTGATGGTTCGGAACATCGGCTCTATATAAACTTTTCTCTATAAATATACACCACCAGCTGTATGTAAACATTTCCCGATAAATATACACCAGCTGGACCATACTTAGACACCACCTTGCCAGTCGTTGCAACTTGGGATTAGTCTCTATCGTAAAGATGACAAGAAAATAAATAAATTTGTTGGACCGTTCAATGATGACGGAATGAAAAAGAAAAAGTGTAGAAGATTGAATGGCAATTTCGGAATAATAAATTCACCATTTTCCTCTTAGTGGACCCAGATTCTCGTACACGCGGAACTACCGCATTGGCATTACTCAACAAAATTACTGAACTGACCCTCAACATTACCCTTAAAAATTCGAGCTACTTTTGGCCACCAAGAAAGCTGTTTTTTTATTAGAATCCATAAAAATTTGGAAGCACGAGAAAAAGGTCGGAAGTAGAAAACTGTAGGTAAAAATTGAGAACCCTAGTTTGATAATCGGTACGAGACAACCAAATAAAGTTTGGGCTAGGGCTTGGGTAAAGAGATATTGAGAAGGGAAAAGATCATGAGGTTAGAGAAATAAAAAAGAGACCCAGGGAGTTTTACTCTCTTTTTTTATTTCTTTAATTTTTTTTTTTTGAGTAAGACAAGCATCTATCTATTTTTTCAAATAGATTAGAAGTTAGTTTTTTTTTTTTTAATGTATCTAGTAGGGTGGTATTAGTAATAGGAATGGAAACCACAATGTGGTGATTAGAGTAAAGTATTGGGTGCTATCACCACGACCCTAACCTTTTTTTAAAGTTTTGCCCTTCTCACGGTATTACACTGCAGTTTTTTAAAATCAGGAAAAAACATATAAATATAAAAAAGTATGAGATTTTGTATTTTCATACTTTTCTCTATTTTCAAAAAGCGGAAAATATGGCAGCTGAAAAAAAAAAAAAAAAAAAAGTTTTTTTTCTTCTATTTTCTCAGTTGCAAACAATACCTTCTTTCCACAATAAGGGCCGAATCTGAAGTGGAAGTCTATTTTCTTCTATTTTCCGAGGTACCAAACAAAACCTTATTTCGACCGTAAGGGCGGGATCTGGTCGGAGGGCATTTTAGTATTTGCAAGGAAATTCATTGAAGAGGGACCATTTCGTAGTTTCGGTCAAAGAAGAAGGCTAATTACATTTGTGTTACGAGTTACCCGATGGATTACGCAAGGATGCTGCAGTCAACGTCAACCATAAAGATCATCAAATTTAACCCCTGTTCATTTCCCTCAATTAGTGATACCAATTCTTAATCAAATGGAGAGAAAGAATAGGAGTTACAGCTCTAGAGAGAGAAAGAATAGGAGTTACATGGATTTAGAGAGAGAAAGTGTGTTAATTGCTTAATGATCAGCTCTTTTTCTAGAGAGAGAGTCCAGATTATGGCATACATTTCCATTGTATATATTTCCAGCTTTGGTTCTCTGAAAACTGCTACAACTGGAGCCCCAATTCATCACAATGGAGAAGCTCCAATCCCTTCTGCTCTGCGTCTGGTTTTTGCCTCTCTCTCTGGCTTTCAACCCAATTGATAACTTCCTAATCAACTGTGGTTCAACCTCCAACACCACCGTTGACAGGAGAGTGTTCGTCCATGATCAGTACTTCTCTCATTCTGACTCAGTCTCTGCAAATTCACAACCAGGCCTTTACAACTCTGCTAGAGTCTCTACTCTACCCTTCTTTTACACCTTCAAGGTAAGCAGTCATGGCTTTCATATGCTTCGCCTCCATTTTTCGCCATTCAGAGATCGGAAGTACGATCTCGGATTGTCTGTTTTCTCTGTCTCCACTCTTGGGTTTGAGCTCCTCCATGATTTCAGACCTCCCACAAATTCAACGGTTGTGTTCAAGGAGTATATAATCCCTGTGAAATCAGATACTTTGGTCCTGAATTTCCTTCCCTCTGCTGAAAACTCAGATCCCAACTCTGCAAATTATGCATTTGTCAATGCCATTGAGCTTTTTTCACTCCCCAATGACTTTATTCCTGATTCTGTAAGTATGGTTCCATCGCGTCGTAGGCTTTCCAATTTACCAGACCAGGCTTTGGAGACAGTGTATAGGATTAACATGGGTGGCCCCAAAATCACCCCTTGGAATGACACAATGTGGAGGACTTGGATCCCTGATACTGAATACTTGTTCTTGAAGAGCTCTGCAAGTCCTATAGTTTATACAGGGCCAATCCATTATAGTGGTCTGCTTACCAAAGAGATTGCACCCGAAAAAGTTTATTCGACTGCTCAACATATGGTCCAACTGGGAATAGTTTCTCAGAAATTCAATCTGACTTGGGTTTTTACAGTCGATCCAACCTTCCAATACATGGTCAGATTCCATTTTTGTGACATTCTTAGTAGATCACTTAATAACCTCTATTTCAATGTCTATATCAACGATTTCTTAGCGATTCCGGTTTTGGATCTCTCTACTGTTACAGTGCAGACTTTGGCTACCCCTTATTATGCAGATTCTGTGGCTGATGCTGATGAATCAGAGGGTACTCTTCGTGTAAGTGTTGGTCTCTCTGAGGATAACAACCTTCGGAGCAAGGATGCCATACTTAATGGATTGGAGATCATGAAGCTTATTGCAAACCCAATTGGGGTCTCTCATGGTGGTTCTAATACGCGATTGGGTATCATATTGGGCTCTGTTCTTGGTGGGCTTTTCGTTCTCTCTCTTTTTTTGGTGGCAGTTCTCTTGGTTTCCAAGAAAAGGAGGTCTAAAAAGGAGGAATCTGTTAAATGGACTCCATTGGCAATTGATGGGGGGAAGTCATTTAGCATTGGAACCAACACCACATGTCCTGCTCGAAACCTAAATTTCGGCCTTAGCATCTCTTTCTCTGAGATACAATTCGCCACCTGCAACTTTGATGAACAGTTTGTCATCGGTGTGGGTGGCTTTGGTAAAGTATTCAAAGGAGTGCTCAGAGATGGCACCAAAGTGGCTGTTAAAAGGGCAAGCAAAGGATCAAAACAGGGTGTCTCTGAATTTGAAACAGAAGTGAGATTGCTGTCTAGTATAAGACATCGACACCTTGTTTCCCTAATTGGGTATTGTGAAGAGCAAGCTGAGATGATTCTGGTTTATGAATACATGGAGAATGGGTCTCTTAAACATCAACTGTATGGTGATGACCTCCCTGCTTTGTCATGGAAACAAAGGCTCGAGATATGCATTGGAGCAGCAAGGGGACTTCACTATCTCCACACTGGTTCTTCTCAAAAGATCATCCATCGAGATGTTAAGTCAGCCAATATCCTTCTTGACGAGAATTTCACTGCAAAAGTTGCAGATTTTGGGATTTCAAAGCTTGGTCCGGACAATGGTGAGAGTGATCAGACCCATGTGAGTACACTCGTCAAAGGAAGCTTTGGTTACTTCGACCCTGAATATTTCAAAACCCAACAATTAACTGAGAAATCAGATGTTTACTCTTTCGGTGTGGTTCTTCTTGAAATTCTCTGTGCTAGAGCTGCCATCGATCCCTACCTTCCTACTGAGCAGGCTAACTTGGCTGATTGGGCTATGAAGTGGCAAAAGAAGGGTTTAATTGAGAAAGTTATTGACCCTAGGCTTGTGGGTAAGATCAATCCTTGCTCTCTAAGAAAAGTTGGAGAAACAGCAGAGAAATGTTTAGCTGAATATGGTGTCGATAGACCTTCTATGGCTGATGTTCTTTGGAACTTGGAATATGCTCTCCAGCTTCAACAGACCGCAATAGAGAGAGAACCGTACGAGGATAGCACCAATATGAGCACAGAGTTTCCCTCTGAGGTGGCTCAGCCTAGGCATTTTGACAACCTAAAGGATGGAACCGAGACGAGCGATGAGGGCTCTGATTTAGCAACAAGCCAAGTCTTCTCGCAACTTCTCACTTCTCTAGGAAGATAGAATTGAGCTTAAGCTTGATCAAATATACAATTCAGGGATAGAATAATTCCGTACTCTTATATGACTAGCTTGTCTCAAGTAGAAGAAGTAGTGATAATGGCACAGTATTATAGTATGGTTTGATTTCTTTTGCTTCAATAGCTTTTGTGAACTGTTTCCTTTCAGATGATGTTCGATTTGTTATGCGCTCTTAGAGCATTGGCTGGTGCATTCGGAATATATCTCTCTTGTAGGTCACATAGTTAACATATAGTCTCCACAGACTAAATCCACATTTCTTGGATTAGATTGGAGGACAGATATCATGTATTCCTTTAAAGCAAATGGGATTCTCACTCTTTCTTCCTGGTAAGTTTATTGTAATAATAGTTATGAAGCTTCCCAATGCAGGTCTCAAGTTTTTTGTATTGGGCGTTTAACCCTCGTGTAACTTTCTTGAAGCAATGACTGGATCTTCTGTGATTTGTCTTCCACCTACATTCAGTATAACTAAATGTGAGATAGTTAAATCTGTTTGGAATTGCATTGTGGATGATGTGAAGGCCATGAATACCTCCTCATGCTTTTGATGACTGTTTTTACCAAATCAATAATGTTCAAAAACAAGGCTTGGATCCCGGCTTCGGCCGGGGTCTCTATTCTGAGTTGTCCATATAGGCTCCATCAAATCTGTCAAAGATTCAACAAGTCTGTACAAACTATAATACTTAAGTATAGGAACGGGTCGAGTCTAGCTGGTAACTGTCTTCTTAGACTCGCTCATGTTATAGAACACTGCATGTAAGCATTTATAGCTTATAAGAAAACAGAATTCAGCTTATATGAAAGCAAAACTCCGTTAGAAGTTTGTTTCTCTCAATGTTTCTTGTTGGAGTTAATTGGTGTTTACAATGGAAAATTTTACATTAGTTGGTTCTCCTTCTTCTGCCCCCTCCTCAGTTGTTGCACAGTTGCAGGTTTCAGCTCCCGTCTTACTGAATAAGAAAAACAAAACTAATCAAAACTTTGCCGTAAAATGTCCAACACGTCCTTTTCGCCACTCAGGCTGTATCAGTAGTTGTGTTAGTATCACTTGTATATGATTATGGGAAGGTACTGCTTGTATGTACTTGCATTTCTTATACCTAATTAGGGCTTGCAACGGGTTTGGGCTGCATCAAGCCAGGGTTTGCTTGAGCTTGGCTTGATGGAAGGTCCCTCGCCGAGGCCAAGCTTGAGGGTCATGTAGGTGGTCCAGCCTAGCATTAGCTTGGTTCGAGCCAGGCCTAATGGAAATTAAAAACCAGCATTTGACTACTCGGGCGAGCCAACACAGACTCGCCTGAGTATCCCGAGTTTGGTGATCAAGTCACAAATTGCTTTTTTTGTATTTTTTATTTTTTGAACACTTTTGGGCTGGCCATGACCTGCCCAACTTGGGTAGAGTTACTTAGACTCGGTCAGGCCTAGGGCTGGGTTCTAAGGCCGAGTTATGCTTTCGTCAACTACTAAAAATCAAAGAAAATAAGGAAATAGTAACCCGGGCCAGGCCAGCCATGACCCCTAGGTCAAAACTTTGTGGCTCAAGGAAGTTTTTCTGGTATGCGCTAGAGTTCGCCTCCCAGCCTTCCATGTATGTGGATACCTGATGCGTGATTTTATGTTGACCAACTCAATCTTCCACCGTCGTTGATATCCAAATTACTTGAAATTTTAAGGGTTCATTCTTCTCATCAAGATGCACCTAATAAAAATATTAAAAAATAATTTACAAAATTTCAATTGAGCAAAATACCCCTGAAAAGTTTTGGAGGTTTTGAGCATAATTCAAAATTTTCACTAGATGAGATTGTTTTGACGCCCAAATATCTTTAAATTGATCATCTCAACATCAAGATGCATAGATATGGGAAAAAAAATGAATTTCAAGTTTTAGAAATAGTGCATCTTGTAATGCGTCTTTTAACTGTCAATTTTCAAGATTTTCATAGATCTGCTCGATCTACACTATTTTTGAAGCTTTAATTTTATAGTTAGAGCTGAAAATATATTTGAAGGCTATCACAAATATTTCAAGTATTGACACCACATTTCTCAACGCTATTTAAGGGTGGGCTTTACTTTGATTGTTTAGAGCCTCGGCTCTATACGAACCGCACCTCAAATCCTTTGCCAGAAAGCACTTTTGGCCATGATAGCTCTAAAATCAATTTTCTACACCAAAAATGAAATGTAAAGCTAAAAAATGGTACAAATCTTGCATATTCGTGAAAAGTTATTTTTAGGGAGAAATGGATAGTCTACATAATTGGTTATAATAGACTATTTTTAGGACTTGATATCCTAATGTTTTTCACAGCCATAATGGTCAAGGCCGAGATAATCGATTTGAAGGTTTTCCAATGCCAAAACTACAATTTTTTAGTGAGTTTTGTGGTGAAGCTTTACTTATTTTGATAGGGTTGTAGCCCTATCAAAATATTTTCCTTCCTTAAACTCTAGTTCTTGAATGTCAAGAAACCAAGAGTGCAATGATCAACAATGTTTTAGCGCTCAAAAAATGCTCTAAGTCATTTCTCCAAAGATTGGACTTTCTATTTGATGGATGATCATACCGAGGTTCCTAAGAACTAAAAATAATTCTTTATTTTTTTGAAATTGATCACAAGTTGAAGTCATGCATGTTTTAAAATGTTCAAAAACTCCTTTGTATTTTCCTTAGGGGGCAAATGTACAGATTGATGCCATATGGACACCTTAGCCAATAGATTTTCCAGTACTCATGGACAAACTTATAGAGAAATTTGCTCCAATTTTGAATCTAATTTTTCAAAAAGTCAATAGTAGTTTGTTCATAGGGGTTATGCTGATGATCTCAGACTTTATTTTAGTAGTAAGAATGTATAGACAAAATGTTGTCTACCTTATTTGCTGAGTCTCCAACCTAAATTACATAATTATTACACACTAGCAAAACGCACCTGAACGTTTATCGTTTGGGTCCCTGGATACACAAATCCTGGATATGCTGGGCTAGCTGCCACTAAGTTGAAAACTAGGTTTTGGTTATTTACTGTTAAATCAGTTTTGCCACTTATTTCATAGGGTGACATGGTAGAAGGGTGCAATCAATGGTTGACATGGGGAACAAAAGGGGGATAAGGAAGGAGTAGATATCAATGTGCGGCATGATATTCGAGGCCAGTGCTAGGTTTTCCCAATACTCGAATATGCTAATTCGAGTGCGGGTTAGCCAAAACTAGGTTTTGATTGGTAAAAGTAGATCCAAACATCCCAACTTGTGTCAAAACCTAGGTGTGCAAAATCAGGTTTTCCATATGATAGGTCCTAGACAACCCATTATGTTATTTTTATTAAAAAAATAGAAAATATTTTTTTATATTTAAAAAAAAATGGTAATTTGGATTAGAATTGGTCAATCTAGATCGAAAATTGTTCACACCAAATAGATTTCAGTAAAATATCGAGAACCTGCCACTTGTCCCATTTCCCTTATTTTTATATTTTTAATTTGCTTATTTTTATATTTTGTACTCTTAAAGTTTGTATTCATATGTTTATACAAGAAGAGGAGCACCCCACCCCTATCCTTATGGGACTAATGTGGTATTACCCTATTTGTGGTCCCACCAAAACCCAACCTCACGAGCCGGAAGGCACTTACATACCCTTACAGAGGATTTTATAGCCCACCACACTCGAAACTCTATTGGACTCCCCAAATGTGAGAGCTTTCATCAACCATGTCTTTTGTTCCTCACATTCAATTTTTTCAAAATTGTTAGATAAGTTTAAATATAGGGGTTTATAGCTTCACTTAAGTTATAGCCCTTGATAAAACAAAATGATAGAACATGATTCATGTAGTCAATCCCAAATAATTGAATAAAAAGCTATAATGATTATGTTACATAAAAAAGTTTAGCTATTTAACAAAGATAGATTTCCATATATATTTACATAGTAATGAAATATGACACCATTCTCTTGAAAATTATTTTCATGGGGGCTCAAGTTTTTCTTATTTGTAATGGCAATCTGAAAAAGTTTTGGAAATGGCGTTGAGATTTCAAAACCAAATTTATTTAAGAAACTATGCTTATTAAACTTAAAAATGCATTTTACTTTGAATATTCCAACCTTAAAATATAAAGTGTAAACAGTGCAACTCGTGTACATAATATAAGAGCCACCATATTCCTTATTATTTGCGACGCGTGTACGTAATATCAAGAACCATATTGTGCATAGACTTTACATACAATATGGTCCCTCATGATTTGCATCGTGTATTTCAAGAGCCACCATGTTCTAAGCAATTCAAATCAAAGCATGGCGAAATAAAATTGAGGCCAACAAGCAGCTTAGAGTGGTGATAGGAAAGAATTTGTTTTAGAAAAATTGAGTAAAAAGAAATTTTAACTAGCTATTCTAGGACAAGAAAGATAAGCAAAAAAAATGTAGAAAAAAAAAACATTGTGATGTAGCGAATGAGGGATTTCCACAAAAAAAAAGATAGGAAATTATGAGAAAAAATCACCTCAATAAAATAAAAATATGAGTATAAATTAATTAATTAATTAGTTTTCATAGAAAAATGAAAAATAAGAAATGAGTAGACATGATCTCCTATATTTAACAAGTGATAGTGGAGATTATTAAATTATAAAGATAAAAAATTGAGTTAGAGAGATCCATTTTATTGTAATGGATTGTATTTTAAACTTTATTTTTCACTAGAGAGATCCATTTTATTGTAATGGATTGGTCAACAAACACTCGAGCATGAAACAAATTCTTAGTATTTACATATTTTTTTATAAAATAATAAAAATTTGCAGTGCAATACCCCCAAATTTTTTGGAAACATAAGAAACTTGATTTTTTTATAGATTTTTAGTTATTTTTTGAAATGTTTTTTAAGCTAAAACCTTATCGAATGTCTGATCCGAATTGCTGATTCGCCGATTTTGCCTAGTTTTTCGGATTGGTGATCCTGTTCACTGAGCCGCTTTTTAAAACATTGCATAATACTCGTAGGTTTGGATTAGATGAAGTATTTAGTAATGAGAGAGGTTATTTTCTCAATCATAATTCTTGTTATATGTTCCAAGTTAACAAAGTATTTAATAGGAAAATTAATGTAAATATCCATTTTTTAGGGACTTTGAAAAAAGGAAAAAGTTTATATAAGATTGCAACCTTAAAATGTAGAATTAAAGATGCACCTCAAAAATCCATCGAAAAAAGTTATTTTAATGTTAAAAAAACCCTCTAATAGATCATCTCGACATAAAGTTATATAAATATGAACAAAAAAAAAAGAGAAAAGATTTTGAGTCCCAAAAATAGTACATCTTGAAACACATTATCTAAACCATTCATTTTCAAGATTTTCATGTGTTTATAGATCTACTTGATTTTAATAATTTTTGGAGTTTAAAATTTTATAATTAGATATG